GGTCACTTTAGGACTAAATGATCTGAAAACTGGATCCAGAACAGTGTGGATTACACTAAAGAGGACATGACCTGGCAGAAGGAGTCATGTTGGGAGACAGAGTGGAAATGTTAAGTGTGAGAGGATGTCAGGAACAACTGCTGTTCTTATGTTTAATGCAGAATTTTGGAATTGGAGACATTTCTTCCCACCCACAGTGTGTGGGTGCCTTGCTCTCTGGCTTGTTCATGTTCCAGAATGTTGTAACTTGAAAATGTTGGTGTTCTTTGAAACCTGTTGGAAGGAGGCTGTGTTTTGGGTTTGCAAACGTGGGTTTGGGTGTTTTGATGTGGGTCTGTTGCAAGCATGTTCCTTTCCTGAAGCATCCTGTCATTGTCCCTGCAGACGTGTCATGGTAGGGCATGATCCTTGCTGAGAGGTTCATCTATCCATGTATTCTCCTTAGGTCATGACTAAAAACTTATCTCGGTTCCAGCAACAGTACTGGCTGTAATAGCAGCATTTAGTGCTCTTCACTCGTCTCTTCAGCCTCAGCAGATGCAAGTGGCTTTGATGAAATGCTTATACTGTTTGTGCTGATGCTGACAATCCCCAGCTGAATTCTTTTCCATACTTCGGGATGGCCCAGTGTCTGCTCCTAGTTATATTTTTGATCATACTTTGACTGTCTGCATTTGTGTCTGTGTTCCTTGGGCCTTGTTTGTCCTTCTGCATTGCATGCTGTCTTTGATCTCCTGCAGTTCAGCCAGAACGGTAATTCAAGCAACTGTCTCACATGGAAACAAATTTTGCCTGTAACGCAATTCCAGCATGTTTTTCTAAGGAAATTTAAATTAGATGTTTTAATCATACTGAGTCAGTATTGCTCCATTCTCTTCCAGTTCCTGGATGAATGAAGGAGGTCATCTGCAGAGTTAGAATCATCACAAGAGCAGTGAGTTTATATGCAAATTTGACATTCCACTGTACTACAGTACTGAACAAGAGAGACTTTGCAGGTGTGATATGGTTTGTATTGAGTTGCCAGCAGAGCAACTCAACTTTTGGAACTTCTGTGGAGGATGTGTGATGTAGCGTGGAAAGCAGGGGAACCAAGCAAAGATGCTCTGCAAGGCACGCACAGGAAATGGGACAGACAGAACCTTTTTTTTTGCTTGTCTCATTCCCAACAGAGAACCAGAGCAGGAGCTTCTACTTTACCACCTGCCCTGACTTCCTCCTTCAGTAACCGGCCTGGGTATTTTTGTAACCCTGTGTGGTTATTTTTTGGTTTGATTTTTTCCTTCCCTGGGTTTGCAGAATTACTGAATCCACTGGAATCACCTTGAAACTGCTGTCTTTCCTGAGTGGGTGTTACGCTGTGCGCTCTCACATCTCAGGAACAGATTAACAATTTATTTATTTATTTAATTAGGTTTTTAATTGCAATAGTAGGTTAACATCTGTCACTAGAGCGACCATACTGCTTTGCATGCTAACAGTTCAATTGAGGGTGTGAGGATAGCTAGGAGTGATTTTGTCTTTCTCTGAGGAGTTATAAGCTTTACTAAATAATTTGTAGAGAAATAGACTTAGAGGCAAAGATGGTAAATGAATAATGCAAGATCAAACAAATATGAGTGACAGGCATGGGAAGGGAATTCAGCAGTGCTCTCGCCTCTTACCCTGTCAATGTCAATGTGCGTGCTTGTCGCTGCCTTGTCCTGAGCTTCCTGCCCCTTCCCTTGCAGCAGTGTGTGTCTGTCTGCAAGCATGAGGGCTGGGGAAGGGATCTGGACTGAACGTGCTTCATTCACCTGCCTCTGAAGTTAAATGAACCAGGAGCAGCTCTCTAACACATGTCATTGTGTGGCTGCACAAGTGCCCGTGCAGGCTCTGGGCGCGGGGCAGCCTGGGCTGGCAGGAGGGAGAAGCTAAAATTGCTTCCTTTGGCCTGAGCTTAAAATGCTTGTGCTTAGTTCTGCAGAAGGTTTTCCTTAGAGGGGCCTTAGGACATTGTTACACAGTGTAATTTAAATCCTGATATTTTAATTATATAGTACAATTTAAAGCCTTAAGAAATACTTGATTGGTATTTTAGAACGAAGCAAAAATGTACTTCGTGTATTTAACACTGAATGCAGTTGACTCAAGATTTAATACTGTGTTTAAGAAAAAACATGAAAACTCATTTTTGAAAAACAGCTTGTGATGTAACTTTGCAGAGAATTCTTGTTCTATGTAAGACAGTAATGTACAGAGGGTCTGATTTATTTGTCTTATGGTTACAATATTTAACTGTCCTGCTGTAGTTGAGTGTTGATTATGGATTCCCATACTGCCCTGCTGATTGCATACAGTGTAGGTGACAGGAGCTCAGCTCCAACCCTGTCCACTCTGCTCCTTGTTTCCCAGCTGTGAACAGGGCACTTTGCTTTTGGTCTCATTTGCTCCCCCCTCCTCCTCAGGCTGTTTGAGGGTAGCTCACCCTTCTCCCCAGTCTGTTGCATCTAGCTTGGGAGGTAATTCTATCACTGTGATTTGTCCTTTCACCTGAGCTTTCTTCTTGTAATGTCCTGGTTTGTGGGTTTTAATCGTTCCTCTTTCGATTTGTCTTGTGAGAAAGGAGCAGCAATGAGCACCTCTGCACTCCTGGTGGGTTTTTCTTGGTTATCTGTTTTATTCCTATTTAACCTTTTTTGTTCAAATGATTAAGTGGAAGCTTTATTACAGCCTCATTAAGCAGCTCTTTCTTAGGACTAGCTTTTTACTAGCCCAGGGTCCTGAGACAAATCCTAACTCTTCTGCCACATTTGTGTAAACACATATGTTGGAA